AAAGTGGTGTTTTCCACTGCCGAAGACCTTCTTCACCTCTAAGGGAGAGTGGGCAGGTGAGCTGTCTGTGTGTGTGCGTGCACTGTTTGTTAGACCTACAGTAGGTGATACTATGTCTAATAAATGCTATATTTTTGATTGATGGGATATATCAGGACATTTGTATCAGGACAATTTAAGTAGCAGTTACTGTATATTAATAATTTGTGTTTTTGATAAAACACTACATTTGTATTCATATAAGTAACTATTATAGTTGTATGAGTACGTTAACATGCACACACACATATTAAAGTGTGCCTTTGCAAGCAAAAACTGGAAAAAAAAAAACAAATTTGATTTAGCTGTTAAATGAAGGAAACATGGTTGTAAAACTATAAACTAAAAAGAAGACTTTCTTGTTTCAAGCATGTTCTGACTTTTCAAAGTTATGCAAATCACACTTGAGGAATGTTTGAACCTAAAGAGGTAAGTTTTGACTTTCCGTTTGAAAGCCAAATGTTCACATCTGGGAACAGCTGTTTGCATTTGCATCAGTGATATTAATGTATCTACAAAACAATTTGGCACCAAATTTGGTTTGCTTTAAAGTAACAGACTATTTTGAGTTTGTCTGAAAAACATTCACTGCTAATGTTGTCATAATGAAATAATCTTTGCTTACTATGTCACTGGTGGAAAAAACATTGTTCATGACTATACAAACTGTGCTGCATTTGAGAAGAGTCTTCAATCTGAAGAAGAGTCTTCAGAGTATGGTGACAGAAGGGATTTAGGGTTTTAATGAAGGTTCCATTACTATCTCCAGCTGGTGCATGGAATCCAAAGTATCCAAAATTTCCTATAAAGTTGAGGACATTGTCAGTATGTTTTCACCTAAAAATACAGTAGCTGGGGACACACAGCCCTGGCTTATCCCTTAGACTGTCTTCCTCTAATTACATCAAAACATTCCTCTACAAGTCCCAGAGCTTAATCCTCATCTTTGGAGATTTACACCTGCACCTTCTAAAGAAGTTGTTCAGTTTTCCACAGTACTTAAAACCTAATTAAAAAAAAAGACAGAACAACGAGCTGGTGAAGTTCCATTCCTTTCCAGAAATAGGAAAA